CGTGCGAGCAAGACATTCAATATGTATATTAAAATGCCTGCATTTTACTTACAAACGAAACAAGTTAGAAACGGGAACAAATAAGTTGTCAGGAATGTTTTTCAGATTGTTTCGATTCAGGCGTCTATAAAAGAAAATGAAATGCGCTGTTCAGTATACGGATGTAGATTGCTATAATTTTACTTAAAATTGCGTCGGAAACAAAACTTCAATGAAGTAAATTTAATATTTCAAATTATTAATATATTTCAACTGCGCCATTGGCAGGTCAATGGGTATCAACCTCCCGAGCGAAGAGGCTGTATAAATGCCTCGCTTTATGAAAATAATGCAAAAACAAAACGAGGAAAAACGCGCTTTTATTATTACGAAAAACCATTGAAAAGTGCTTTCGCACCCACACTCCATTTTGTTTGAAAGATAAAACACGATTTAAATGACATTGTTATACCGTGCTGCAATAAAAACGTACCTTAAACGTCCAACTATCGTTTCGGATATTAAGTGCTCATGTTTGTTCGAAGCGTAGAGGTGGGAGAGCCCGGATGATATATGATTTTGGAGATTTTCCGAGGCGAGGCTAAAATCGTCTTAAAACTGCAGAAACATCACCAGCTGATTTAATCGAACAATCTTACAAACCCGCAATAAATGTCCCAACACTTTGTGTTTAACGAATTTTATTAATAATTCTAAGTTCTGATCAGGCATGACAGTATTGCAGTTTATTTTGAGTATGTTAGTTAAGCATTTGAAGCTCCGCACTCAACATATGTTTAAAATTTTATTAACTTAGATTTGCTTAATAAAAGGAATTTTTAATTTGAAAAATTCAATCACTCAATTGGAAATCACATTTCCTATTCCGCTTTTCAAAATTGCATACAATGAGCGAATACATTTAGCGTATAAAGCTAAATATTATACATTTAGGAAGCAGAGGCATTTATTACAAAAAAAAATAAATCCAGGCTATGCAGGGAGCTTTTAAAGGAATACTATAATATAAAACACCGACGACCTCTGAACGCGAAATCCTGATTATATTGCTTTAATCTGTTAGTATCAAGATGACCTAAGAGTAATAGGAATCGATACAGCCATGCATATTAAAGCCCATAATAATCCTCTTAATACTAAACTACTCAATTTGATAAAGTTTTTAATTTCCGTTTTCAGACGCAATTTTAAGTATCTTTTGCTACAATATCCGATATAGAAGATCAGTTACTTACAATCGTTCTAAACTTGTAAGATCCTGAAAACAATCCTTATGGAGATTTGTTATTTGGTTGGCTGAAAGTTGCCTACAAACAGAAAACATAACAAAGTAAACCAAATTAAAATATAAATAGGTAGTTGATGTCTAACATTCCGAAAGCAGCTTTGTTAAAAGAATACATTTCAGCAAAATTATACAGTAGCAAAAACCAGAACGTAACAAAGATGTACATAAACAGAACATCTTTTTAAATAATTAACTGCTATGTTAATATAAATACTTCTTAGTAATAAAACTAGTAAGCAAACAAATCTTAAACAAAATTTTATCATATTTACATTCAACATAGGTATTTCACACATTTAAGATATTTATTATAATAAATAAAATAAAGTAATACTCTTGAAATGTTGCGATATAGTTAAAAATGCATAAATACAATGGGAAGATTTAATCTGACGACATAGTCAGAAAATCATTTATACATTTAGTCTTATACCGCTTTCTATAACAGCTAGTTAATAGTCTCAACCTGTCCTAATACTTGAACCCGACAAGAAGTAATTTATAAGATACAAAACATTGTTATAAAAATTCAAGCTAGTAGAATGTGTTTCAATTGACATTTTCCACGGAGCTTAATAGAGTTAAGTCAGTTAGAGTTGTTTGCATTTACATTCCATTCTTATAAAAATGCGAATTTATATTCTCTAAGCCACTTACAAAATTTTCAGTTTTCCTAGATCTTGAAAATCGTATTCGTAGATGGCAGTGATATTGTTCCCTTGAAGATCTCTGAAAAGAAAAAAAATACATTAGCACATATTCATTTTATATCACATTGATAGTTATTTATTATA